TAGTTCTGTTTACTACTCTCAGGTCACACGCCATTAATGCTGAAAGTCAGGGCAGGAACTCATTCATATAGGGCAGGAACCTGGAGACAGGAGCTCATGTAGAGGCCGCGGAGGAGTAATGCTTGCTTTATTGCTTCTCATAGCTTGCTCAGTTTGCGTTCTTACAGCACCCAGGACCACCAGCCTAGGGGTGGCACCACCCGTAGCGACTTGGGCCTCTCATATCAATAATCAATCAAAAGCTTATCCACAGGACAGTCTGGTAGGGACATTTTCTCAGTTGAGGTTCCTCTTCCAAAACAACTTTAACTTGTGTCAAGGTGACACAAAAACTATCCAGTACAGTGGGAGGACTTAAGGGATTTTTTTTTGAGAACCTTCCAGCTCCATTGTTCTGAGACTTCTTTCTTTTCAACACAGAATGCGGTAGTAATTAATGCTCAGTGTTTGTTGCCAAAAGCATGGTACAGCTCCACACTCTGGAACTTGGCAGATGTAGACTTGAAGTCCTGCCCTGCCATGCATTATGGTACAAACTGGCAAATACTATTCCTAGACCTCAATTATCTGCAAATAAGGATAAATGTAGTATTGACAAATACATGCTACTTCACGGGCTTGGGCCAGGCTCTCTGAGACCTCTAGTTCACATAAGCTGAACCTGGATTTCAGTCTCTGTGAAGAGTTCAATTTAGCGAGACGATTCCCTGTTCTCCACATCTGACTGAACTCTTTATGCCTCACCACCTTCTTGTCCCCAGTTTGCTCAGAACAGCATCACTGGTCCACTGCTGCCTACCCTGCTCTTGAGTGACAAGCCCCTCTTGCCTTGCTGTGTTTAAAATTGAGCCCAGCACTTCTCTTCCCTACAGTCAAACCCCACCACAGTGCTTGCTACCCACAGTGCAGTGCTCCTGAATACTCTGCCTTGTCTTTAAAAAAAGGTCAGTAAGTTTTTTCTCAGAGTGTCTGCTGTACACAGTGACGACTGGAGTTGGAATGTAGAGAAAGCAGACAGTGAGGAGTCTGGTACAGGGAGGGTGTGTGAGGCTTTCTCACATTTACTGTGGTCGATGCTGCTTTTGGTTCTGTTCTCACTTCCTCAGCAAAGGCCTTCCTCTTTCTTTAGATGTTTTTGGTCAATATTTTCCCCAAGGCATTGCCCTCTCTGGTTTGAACACCGAGCCCTTTGACTCTCCTTCATGTGATGTATGGAAACATCTCGTTTTCACCCTGCTTCCCTCTCAGTGAGAACTAGCAAATGGATGGAAATATTCGCAAATCCATTGCCAAGGCGGCATACTTCCTGGATTATTGGACACTAAAAGAGTAATACATAGCAATTGTCTTTAAAGCCTTCCACTTATCCTTAGTTTGCTTTTACTTTGCCAAGATGCCTTAAACATCAGACACGCTGGAGGGAGGAGGTATCAGCTGATTTATCCCCCACAAAGCCATTTACAAAGGGGTGTGTTAAAGTCTTAGTACCCAGAATCTCAGAATGTGATCTCATTTGGAAAGAGCACTTTGCTGAGGTAAGCAAATCTAAGTGACAACGGTAGGAGAGACCAATAGAACTGGTGTCCTTATGGACGGGAACACTGTCACGACATACCAGAAGGAAGATGCTGTGGGGATTGCACTGAGTGTACCAGGAAGAGATGTAGTGTTGGTCAGGAGATCGACAAGGCCGGGAGTACTCGAGAGGGACAGAGGCTGGGAGAACAGCACGGAAACAGGTGCTGCCCGAGCATGATGGAGCATGGCAGATACCTAATTTTTAGACTTTGAGATAATACATTTGTGTTGTTTTAAGTGGCCCAACTCACAAAAGCTTTGGCAGATCAGGACATAGGGTAGATACTGTTGTTTCAAATAAAAAGATAGAGTAATAAACGTTTAGATCTGTATGTACCTCACAGGACACCAAGTGAATGGAAATTAAAAGCTCAGAGTTCAAAAACAGGGAGGTACCCTGTAATCATCTTTTATGAAAAGCCCACTTCACAGTTGGCTGGCATGGATGTTTCTGCAATGCAGTGACCATCAAAATAAGCAACATCACAGATGTTAAGAGCATTCTTACTGTGTTGTGTCATGGCACAAAGAATCTGAGACTTTTCATTGCCTAGAGGCCATGGTATCAGGCTACATTTCCATATGGATTTTGACCAACAATCATAAATAACAGAGAACCTGCTCATAAACAACCAGAAGGCAGTGAGTCAGGCAGGTGGTACTTTGGAGGTGGGATCGAGAGAGTTTAAAATGGCGAGTGAGTCCTGTTTATGTGCACACTCAATGCTAAATCCCAATGAAGGAAGCAAGACTGGGGAAGTTAAGGTTTTACTCAGATTCCAAATGAGTTTAAAATATGATGTTTTGATGCTTTAAATGTCTTGTGTAAAAGGAATCAACATTTTAAAAATAATTAGAGTCTTGTAAGAGAAAAATCTTTTGTATTTGGGGAAAACCAAGAACACCAGATGCACTGGGGGCGCTGTCTGCATATTCGTGGCTATAAGGTAAAGGTGTTTATGTCCTGGTTCTTCCTGATGGCACCAGAGGGATCTTTCTATGGAGTTTCTGTGGGGAAGGGCACAGATCTTAGAAAGTAAGTGGGAAATTCACGAGGGACTTGGACCTTGTCGGTAAACTCTGCAAGGAGGGATGTGGGTGAGGTGTTGTGAGCAGGTGGCGGGGAGTCTTTGTACTGCAAGGAACAAAGAAGCAGAGAGTAGACTGGGAGTGGGGTGGGGCCTGGCTTTTAATCTCAATGTCTAACCCGCCTATGTCAGTGACCTGATTCCTCAACTTGAGGCTTTTCCCCCAAATAGTGTCTCCAGATGGAGCTCAAGTGTTCAAAAGCACGAGCTTTTGGAAGACAGTTACATTCACACCATGGTGAGATGACTAGGGATTAGATCCATATCTAGTCATAAAATATATTTCTGTTTTACATGTACCCTGTACATATAACCTGGAGATATTTTTTTTCAAAAATATTGTTCATGTATTTCTTCATTTTTTTAAAGTTGTGCATATGTCTATGTGTTTATGGGTACTCGAGGTCAAAAGAGGGATCATAGTCTCCAGAACTGGAGATGCAGGTGGTTGTGTGTCCCCTGCGCTGGTGTGGGTGCTAGGAACTGGACGTTAGTCTTTTGCAAAAGCAATTAAGCCCTTGTTTTAGCCAGGATTGCTATTGCTGTGACAAAGCACCTTGAGCAAACAGCAAGCTGGACAGGAAAGGCTCAGCTTATACGTCCATATTGTTGTTCATCATCGAAGGACGTCAGGAAAGGAGTCTAAACAGGGCAGGAACCTGGAGACAGGAGCTGATACAGTGGCCGTGAATGGGTGCTGCTCACTGGCTTGCTCCCCCTGGCTTGCTCAGCCTGATTTCTTATAGAACCCAGGACCACCATCCCAGGGATGGCTCCACCCACAGTGGACTGAGCCCTCCCTATCAATACTAATTAAGAAAATGCCTTATAGTTGGATCTTAGGGTGATATTTTCTCAGTTGAGGTTTCCTCCCTTCAGATAACTCTAGCTTGTGTAAAGCTGACATTGAACTAGTCAGCACAGCACCCTCATTCATTAATTCATCTTTCCAGCTTCAGTTTATGTGTTTTAATTGGGACCTATTACATCAGATCAAATATGGAATTTTTGGCTAATGTTGACATTCAAAAGTTTCAGATTTCTGAAGCCAGAATTTTTAAATTGGAAGTAATCAATCAACTTCTAATAATATTGTACAGACATTATAAGTAGAAACGTGGACTGCTCTGGTATTTAATATTTGAAGTGGTTTATAAAAGTACATGTCCACCGTGAATATTTAGTAGGCAAATACATATTCACTTGTGCCTCAGTTTCGGAACATCCACTATATACTAGGCGCTGTGGCTACCTATAGGAAGCACATAGTTGAAAAGATGTGGTGACTTGTTCTCACTGCAAGGCAATCAGGTTGAGATCTAATCATAAGCACAGGTGGGAAGTAAGTCAAACGGAGGACGGGGGCACAGAAGAGCCTTGAAGTTGGCTAAAGATGTAAGGAAGAACTTTATAGAGCTGAGAGGCACAGATGTGCAAATTAAAAAAAAACAACAACAGACAGATCAGTTGCACGAGTGTGGAACTATTAGGAATGATGCAAACATTTGAACCTCTTTTCAAATGTCATCCATGACTATACATGTACCCATGTCTTAAAAGGCTCAATTACTCAGTTGAACACCCAACACCGCAACCCAAGTGTAGAGCCGTTTTACTTCAGAAAGGTAACTTCTTCAATGTTACATGTTCTTATAAAAAAAGGAATCAAGGTAGAAAGGTATAAAGATCTCTTTGATGCTGGACTATTATGAATGGAAAGGCTTCATGTTGTTCATGAAATAAGCTATACAGATGATTTTATGCCTTTAATTTTTAATTTTATTGGTGACAAATCAAATAGGTACATGAAAATCTCCACCATCTCTACACATGTATTTAAATAAAACAAGAGTTCTAAGATTTGGATTTCAGTGATGACTAAAACATTATCACTTTACTGTATAAAATTCTCTAAGTTTACAAAATCTGCTCATTCCCCTGTGTCTTATTTAAAAAAAAGAAACAAAACAGCTGCAAGAACTAAAAATATGAACTTAATGAAGAGAAATACAAATAAGCTCCTGGTGAAGCCCAGCACACAAGTTATGGAGGACGCAGCAATGTTGTGAGCATGGTTGTATACTACTGTTCTCTGTGAGGTTGACGTGTCTCAGAACTCTGTGTGCATGTGGATGACAACCCGTTGTGTACTTCTATAGTGGAGACAATGGGAAGCCATGGTTTCCCTTTGGTATCCCCATATCTTTTTCTGTGTTGGTCCCATCTTCCCCCTGACATCTCGTTTCCCCCATAGGCTGTAGAAACTGTCTCCCCCAATCCTGATGTTTAGCCCTAAGAGTTCTCTGAGTTCCGTCAAGACCAGAGATGCATTCCAAACTTCTGAGGAGTTTTTATTGGTCCCATATCAGGAATCACAAAAGTTACGTCATTATGTAGTGTAGAGAGAGCTGTTTGTCATCCCTCAAACTATATCATATAGATGGCTTTCTGCTTATGAAACTGGTTCTATCAAAAAGACGAACAGTGACGACAACTCCAGAGGCTGGTATGGAACCCTCAAAACTCTTTGAGGCAAGCGCAAAGCTGCCCATACACTAATCACACAGACTGGGAGCTAGATGTGAGCTCCTGGTAGACATGAGCCAGCTACCGGGACAGATTTAATTAACAAGCAGGGGACGATGAACAGCAATGATATTTGTCTCTGTGTCTTTCATTTGCTTTCCAAGGAACTTTGGCAGCTGAAGCCAAGTGGCTCCTTTCCAGGTTAAGGCACCACATAAAATTTACTGTCTGTGAATTTGGCTCATCTTTCAAACAAAGTGTCACTGTTGAAATTGAGACACAGATTTTCCAGACAGTTTTGTAAGGGTTAGGATTTTGTTCAGCTTGTTGTATCAGACTTAGTATTCAGGATATTAATTAAGAAAATAACGGATGCAGTGTAAACATGCCTCAGATACATAGGTCTTTTATATATTGCACATAAAATTTTGTTCAGCATTTCTCCCTAGCAATTTTTCATTATTACAAAAAGGATATAAAATTGTGCAGATCATCATATGCATTTTGGTTGGTCAATATTACTTCAAAATGGTAACATTACAAATGATTATGTATTGTTTACAAGAGCTTTAAGCAACATTTTCTGGATGACTAAGTAAAGATGATGGTAAAATAGTTTAAGTATAGAAGATTATTTTTCCAAGATTACATTCTAGGAAAGATTAATAGTAAGGAGTGGGTAATGAAGCTTTAAAAATATTGTTAGGTCCTCAGGAGTGAGTTTTCCCTTTGCCTCACACCTGTATAACTGCATATATCTCCATCTGATTTATACTCAACACATTTTCTCTTTTATATAAGCATGAGATATTACAACAAAAACAGGTGTGTAGATCCCAAGCTAAATAATGGTGTGTAAACTATAAAAATAAGATTCACCCATATAGTTAAATTGCTTTTTATATGGACTCTACAGCTTGTGCCCGTACTTTCAAACACCATCAGGGTAGTGAGTACCTTGAAATGAATTATTTAAAGAAATCGGTGGAAATAGTTTTTCACATGTACAAAAAGAACTGTAAATACAAAATTTTGTGTTGAATTATGCAGATGTGAGTTCCTCTAGAGCACGAAGAAAGATAACTCTGGGTAGCAGGCAGCAAGACATTAGCGAAACTGACCCCTAATATCAATTTGTGTGCAACACCGTCTAACACACTAAGAAGCCCAATTAAACATGTTATGTTCATGGAGTAGATGTCTTAAGAAGAAATAAGCTGAGTGATGTTGAAATCTAGCCAACTAAATCTTAATTTCGATATCCTCTAGATGGCCTGATTCTCTACCTAGAGAAATGGAAAATAAATAAATACATTTTTTTGCTCTCACTTAACTAAATGATCTCTGTTGTTCCACAAGTACTTTCACAGTCCTGACAACACATTGCTTGTCTCCCTGAGCCACCGCATCCTTAGGAAGGCTGCTCTTCTGTCGGGAGGTGTCAGAGAGTCCAGTGGGTTACAGTAGTGTTAACCTTAGTTCATCACATCTCTGTAGGACTCAGTTTTTAAAGTCACATTGGGCTGATCTGGACAGCCGTCTGAGTTCCCACAGCCATTCCAAACTCTCAGCCAGATGTGAAATGGTGAAAGCAACAGGAATTGTCACAATTGCCGGTTGTTTCTACAGTGTCAGGGTTCTCTGCACTCCGTGCCCGTGCATGGAGCAGACGAGGTGCTCCCTTAGGCACCTTCCATTCCTAGGTCACTGGCCCGGATGGAAGGCTCTGATCAGTTTGCAGTCATGTCCCTTCTTTCTCTGAACAGGACCAGTGTTTGAATTTTAGGGCTTCGCATTTCCGAGTCATGCCTCCGGGGTCTTGTCACTGGTCAGCTGTTCCCTGTCTGTCATTTCATCCTGAGGCGGTCTTGCTCTATCAAAGAAGCCACACTAGGAGAAAGAAAAATCAAGTCATCTGGAGAGTGTGTGAAATGCCTTATTTAAGGAATTTGCATCTTAGACATTTTATAAGAAACCTGGGATATGTGAATTATCTGTCTAACTGTCCAAGTTAGAGGGAAAATTGGAGTGTTGGCGACTGGTGGAGAGAATTCAGTGCCCGGACAAGGTTGGCAGCGCATCTGTTGCCTTCCTCCCGCCACACGGGAAGTAGTGGCAGGATGTCTTCATTTCAGAGAAGCCGCTCACAGATCTTAGCTGTACCCCATACGGTCACTAGTGCACTAAGGATGCTTCTGCCTTTCTGCACGCTTCCCTCATGGTGCCCCACAGCTGACCTGACGCGTGCCATTCCCTGTGGTGTTCTGTAGGGTACTTAGGACACATCATAGGGAGACATTGGTGCCTGTTCTTCTGGACTTGGTGGGACACACAGTGATTAGAGGAAGGTCCAATTTGTGATTTATGTCAATGACAGCACCGGGCAGGATGGGACATCCTTGTGACTTTCTACAGATTTACCAGTACTCTGGTAAAGATGGTTCCAGAGCCATCTTTCTATTGAATTTCAAATTAATATTTAGCCCCAGTGGATGCTTATTTTCCTAGAACCCTAGAATTATTATTTATTGTTTCTCATGTGGGAAGCCCAGAAAGAGTTCCTTCGCAAGACTAGTAAGGTACTCTCTCATTTAGCGTATAGAGTGATATCCAGCTACCGTAAAGAGCAGAGTAATGCTGAAGTTATCTCTACATGTGTGTGAAGGACTGTATGAGCTCAGGACAGCTGTCAGCTGTTAATGATTAGAAAGGCTATTCTTTCTTAAACAAAGTTTTCTAAGTTCTGTAAAGCAGACTGCCGCCTATTGTTTCAAAATTTATAATTGCCATGTTCTCAGAGGGCCACACAATAGTGGCTGACTGAGATGTGTAATGTCACTGTGACACTGTTCTTGATTTAGAGTGAGAGACTCCGTGTAACCTGGCAGATGGACAAGACACTTGGCTACAGATCTGATGCTCTTATGTACTTTCAGAACAAGCCTCAGCAGGACATGTTGAACGATTCGTTAAGATTTTCTACTAGAGACAAACTAATTGGCAAGATGGAAAACTCACTCCACACACCTTTGGCATGGCCTATTTGGCCTAATAGTTGAAATGGAAAAAAAAGGAGAATCAGTCTATATTAACTACGTAGTTGGATTGCTTTTAAAAGGAAATTCAAAGGACTGTTGATAGGTTGCTGTCAACAAAACACACAACTTCCTGGTTAACTGAAAAAGAAGTCTTGGTAATGATGAAATTACTCTGAGCCCATTAAAAAGAAGATCACGGGTCTTAAGACAATTACTCAATATATTTATTTATAAGAAATCTCAAGGTAAGGTCTGAGAATGTCTCTCAGGAGAGAAAGGCTTGCCTAAGCCTGTGCAAAGCCCCAGGCTCTATTCCTATCACTCAAATAAAATCACCCCCCACCAAACTTCAATGTGGAAGCAGTTTACCCCTTATCTTTCACAATATTATCTTCACACACATTAAATTCCAAAACAAAATAGACACAATCTTCTTCTGTCCTGAAGATTTATCAAAATCAGCAGCTTATGACTTTATTGTTATATTTAATATTTTCCAACAATATTCTTTCACCGTCTCCATTGAGGGTGAAACTTCTGAACTCCAAAGGAAAAACAAAGAAAGCTCGCTTACCTTCCATAAAGCTAAAGTTAAGATGGCCAGAACCAGCAAGCCAAGAAGGATTGCTAGTATTATGACCCACAGTGGAATCGAGAAAGAGACATTCGGCGTGGCCCAGATAACCGACGTCTTAATCTGAAAAGAAAACAAAGCAAATGATCGCTAACTTGCAACTGTCTGATGAGACAGGCAAGAACTGCCAGCTTGCTACTGAAGATCATCCCGAGACAATGCTCATAATAGCTGCAGGAATTCGAGGGCATGTTAGGAGGTCATAGTGACTGAATGTGGGCTCTCTAAAACAGACACACACCCATGCCTCGGAGGCTACATGAAAATCTAATGACATATACTTGTTGGGTGGTGACCTTTAATCATGGAATCCTAGACTGAAATCCTGGTAAATGTGGACCTCTCTGCAAACAAAGAGCCATGAGTGTCGAATCTACACATCTTCATGTAAGTCAGCTAATCTCACTGAAAGGTGAATTTGTGAACAATCATGAAATATTAGATATTCAAGAGTTAATGTCACTAGTTAATGTCAGTACTGGATCTCTTCATCTGTAGACTTTGTGATCTAGTACTAAATGACAGCTGAGAACTTGAGGTTAGCCACCCTTCATTCTTCCTCCCTCCCTCTCTCCCTTCCTCCCCCCCCCCTCGGCAGGTGTCTCCTTAGAACCCTGTGGATTCTATGACAGGCACTCAGGTTCTCAGGATTGGCAGCATGTGCTCTTACCCAATGAGCTATCTCGCCAGCTCCTAGCTTGCATTTTTATGGAATTACTTGAAATAAAAATAGAATGAGAGTGAAGCCACTGTGTCAATCCTAACAAACAGGAATAAACAAAGGCAGTATGAACGAGGGTTTTCATGAATTATTGCTTGATAGTAATCAGTAACAAAGATTCTGCGGGGGGTGGGGGCTAGAGAGATGGTTCAGTGATTAAGAGCACTTTCTGCTCTTGCAGAGGATGGGAGTTTGACTCCCAGCATCTGAAACTACCCATAAATCCAGCTCCAGGAGATGTGGCTTTCTCTTTCGACCTCTGCAGGCATCTGCACACAGATGTTCACATACCCATACACAGAAATAAAAAGAAAATCTTAAAAAGAAGGTTCTGTCGAGATCAAAAAGGCCACTTCAACACACACACACACACACACACACACACACACACACACACATGTGCGCGCACACACACACCACACCATACAATACATACACACTACAATTCTGTATAGTTATCTGTCCATCAACCCTCTGGTAATTTTAGATTAACATTAATTATTAACCCCTAGACTGATGATTACTATTTCAAAATATCTTTCTCATTTTTGCATAGGGTCTAGAAAAGAGGGAAGACAAGGACCTACAACTAATATACTCCTTTTGTATTAACCTGTATGCCTACACACACACACACACACACACACACACACACACACACATGCACGCATATGCACACACATTTACAAATATTCTCCTTCCCTCAGCTTCTCCAGTTACATTCAGTTTGCTATAGCAGTGCTGTTCTATTCCCTTCTAAACGTCATTATTTGTAGGAGATACTCTAATGGTTGTTTAGATGCTGTACTATATAAAGCGGTGTGGTATTATCCTCATTGGTTTGGGCTACCTTCAAACCTAAGTCCAATTTTCATGGACAGAGCTAGAGAAAGCACCTGGAGACGATAGGAGCCCATGTCATTCCCCCCCCCCCCCCGTTGGAAAGATTCCTGGAGGAAAATGAGGCCCACACGGTCAGAAGAAGAGAAGAAGGACCTCTCTTGCTCCAGAGCTGGGAGTCTCTGCAAGAAAGCTACAGACTCCTATGTAAAGTGGAGAGGACTAATCCATGCTGCTGAGAGCTTTCTTCAGAGAGAATAAAAATACAGAATATTCTTGGAACTGACTATTATCTATCATGCTTGATATAGGTGTCTGGCTTTACAGTAATAGGCACTGCTTCCTTTAAATTGATCTATATGCTCTTCATTTTAAATATGCTCATTGAAACTACCTGAGAACTCTAGACCACAATCCTAAAGGGAATTGTGAGAGGGACTCATGGCTAGTTGGTAGCTGTGAATTGGTATGGCAGGAAATGACTGGGCATTTTCGTCACTGGAACCTAATATTGGGCCCTAACCACACCCCTGTATGTATGTATGTATGTATGTATGTGTGCATGTACATACGTTTGTATGTATGTGTGTGTTTGTTCTGCCTTCTTAACTAGATCTGGACCCCTTCCAATGTTCTGCTCAGTTCTTCCTGGTTCTATTGTGCCTCCCATATTAATCCATGCCCCCATCTAGCAGACATATGAATGGATTATGTGTCCTTCACCTACCTGGTCATTGTAAGTTTTAATGTGCTGTGTCAAAAGTCAGTCTGTCTGTTGAAAGAAGCATGAAAGACTCCCACAAAGATCAAAGAAAGATACCTGAAGGACTTTCTTTCTCACAACGGTAGAGAGAAAACAATTCAAGCATGGGATGGACGCATGTTCTCAGCAGGGGCGTCTAAACCAGGGAGCAATTCTCATGGTTCTTGGCTTATATTTGTTTCCAGAAATTCTGGCAGCTGTGCCTTAGGCAGTGCGTGGAAGGTGATCACCACGTGGTGATCCAAAACTCTGAAATCCTCTTTTAGTTCCAGAATTCTGAATTTCTCATTATCAAAACTGTGGCCAGCCTGCTTCCAGGAAGAGTAGGTTTATTTTAAAGTTATCACTCCCTCCCATCCCTCTGAGTACCCTGAAGTGTAAGGACTCTCCATGCCACGTGTATTTCTTGCTTAGCATCCCATTCAGTCCACTAAGGGGAAGGGATAGAAGGCCTTGAGGGTCTCTGAGCTTCCCTCTGCCTCTGATCCAATGGCACAGTCTAAAGTTGGCGCAGCTGCGGACCTCTGGCCAACCTGGTGTCTCTCTAAGATGACCTGGCATTTATGCTTCACATTTAGAAGCCGTGACACCAATGTCAGTGGGACAGGCAGACGATGCATCGTTAATAGAGAGTGACCGCGAAGAGCCGAACACCACGCCCCATCGGGAGAGCTCTATGCCTTGGAAAGAAGGGAGATCGGAAACATTCCGACCTGTGACTCCGCCGTAATGGCGGGTCGCTAGCAAAGCACAGCTCTTCCTGAGACTCCCTGCTCTGTAGAGATAAGTGAGAGACTTCAATTGTATGTGGCTTAAATGGAAACAATTGAACTGGTCACTTTGTTAGGACCTATGTTTGTTTAAATTCATGGTGGTGGGGAATAGGAAGATAATTCTGGAGATATCTGAATGAAAATAAAGTACTGACAAACACCAAAACTTGATCATTTCCAGTGCTTGTATTCATCTTGACAAGCCCTCAGAAAGCTTAGCTTGGAGTATCCACAGGCTCAAAACTGATGAGAAAGTGCACCACAGATGAGGTTTCTTACGACTGTGATTTATGCTGAGAAATGTGTGTTTATGTCAAATAATTATGAAACACCCCATATTCTCTGAACCTCTGTAGGCCTCATCAGCTGTGACCTTGGTCTTGCTCACTGCTGCCCAATAGAAATATTAGACAGCTATGAATTCAAATTTTGTATCAGTCACATTTAAAAAATGAGAATAGGAGACATTAACTTTAACAATATGCTCTCAAAACCCAAATATCAAGTACTTTCTGTTAATACAAATTTAATATCATTGAAACATGCTATTAATGTTTTAAAAAGTAAATTATTTCTTACATTCTTATTTTTTGATTGTTTCCAAAGTTCAGTTGCTCTGAACACAGGCCGCACGCAGCAGCTGCAAAGGTTTCGACCGCTGGAGTGAAATGCAGCCTTCCAACACTAACTAGCTGTGCTTAATGGAAAAAACATTTGCGCACCAGATCTTCCCATTCACGTTTTATAGAATGAAAATGCAATCAAGTTATGAGCTTGTTCCGCAGCCCCACATTTTAGGAACTCGGACTCTACACGCCTGGCATTGTCCATGTGACCCAATGGTGAGGTCAGCTGATCCATCCAACCCCTCACTGTAGGATTCGTCTGTCTCACGGCAGAGCGGGCTACACACAATGCACAAGAACTTACTTTAGGCTTGTGCTGGAAAGAAGCCCTTGTACCTGATGACCGGAGTGCAATCCCTGGATTCCACAAGGTGGCAGGAGAGAACCAACTCCTGGATTGTCCTCTGACCTCCACTAGGTTCATGTCTACATGTGTGTATGTGTGCATGCGCGCGCGTGTGTGTTTGCATGTGCTCGCGTGCACTCTCTCTCCTCCCCCTCAAAAAATTGAAAACTTTAAAGATTTGTTTTCAGACCCCAGGCTTCTGATTGGGTTAAAATTGAGTCACTGGAGAACTTAAGATGCACTGGGGAGTCCAGTTGTCAGCCAACAAATCAACTATCTGCTTTTAAGCATTTTTGCTTATCAGGAACTTGAAGTTATTTAAAGAAATAGTATAAAAACTTAGCAACTCACTTATTATCTTTATCTGTGGCTTTAGGAAGTGGAATCTATAAATTATAAGCAGTTGGATTTTCTCAAAGTGATCCTAAGCAGAGACCATTTAATCTTACCTCCATCAAATCGTAAATCTTGCTGTTCTTTATTATGGTTGAAAGACTATAAATAAACTTCAATATGCCTACATTCCATCATTGATATTTATGGTATATTTTTGGGTATTTTGATGAAAAAAAACCACCAAGGTGGGAGGAAACATTTTCCTTGTGTTTGCGACTATAATTAACATTAACATGTGTGCTTACAAATCACAACATCTTATGCAAACATACAGCAATGGGGGCAGACGAATGTTTTAATAAATGTACCAAGACGCTTTACCTACAATGCCATTTAGAGCAAAATAGAAACACAAAGGGAAACAGCTGAACACACAGTTAACAGTCCTTGGCATTGCGCCATCCCATCAGAAGTTTGGACACCAAAGAAACCATCTCATTTAAGAATTCTGTTCATAAATGTTGAAGTTTTGTGAAAAAAAATTCTGAAAATGAAGTGTATCTGCAACTTCCAGGAGATATTTTTACATAAGTATCTTCACAAAATAGTTTATAATAATAATAATAATAATAATTTTTACATTTATACTAGACAGCAATCCTTTCTCCTAGGTGTAAATTGTGGAAGTGGGTGTTTGTTGAATGACATGCAAATGCCTATGTCTCAAGAGTCAGTCAAAAAAAAGCATTCAAGTAATTGAATAATCTTTTTCTTTTTTTCCCTGTGCTGTGATGACTTAAGATGCACTGGTATGCCTCTCAGCCATGGCCCCTGCCTCACCTCTCAGAGGAGTTCGTGTGTTACCAATTCAGATGCTGCGTGAATGGCAGGTAGGGACTATTTCCTACACAACCAGAGCTTACTTATAAGATACGGCTGACTTATGACCACGTTGAAAAGGAAGTACAAACCAACCAACCATCCCACACAAGAGTCTAGGAAAACAACCATATATCAACTTCTCACTACAAAGTCTTCCCAGTGTCCAGATGGACATTGGCTGATTCTCAAGTGACTGATTAAACCACCGTCCAGCAATTCTCTTTGGCGGGGCTCTTTCTGAGAGGAAGAATGGGGAGACCTTTGAGAACTTTCTCAACAAGATGTCTGCCCCCTCCAGCCAGAGTTCTCTCTAAGCCACAGAGAGACCAGACCGGTTCCCTACACTGAACAGCTAACTCTGTACTGGCAAGGTCTTCCCCTGTGAGTCAGATACTGGGAGACTTGAAAGCAATTCCCTTGCTAAATGTTTTTCCAATAACCTCTACCTAAACGATGTGGTAAATCTTCATCATCAGATAACGGGTCGTTTTTTCGTTTTTAATGTGGTAACGGATGGTGCCATGGAGGGAGCATGCATTTGATCATTTCATGGATCTTTTGAGATGAGTTGAGAACAGCAGGCTGTCACCTGTAGGCAGCCCTGAAGGATGTGATCCTGTTGATGGAATCGACTGGAACATGTGTTTTTGTTATGAAACACGTGCTCCAAGAAAACAAAAGGGGTCTGGATTTATCTCCCTGAGAGCTGCAAGTCTTTGAACCTCTTTGGATGAACGCTCTGTATTAAAAGCCCTAAGCCTCTGTATGCTGGGTTGAACATAAATCCAGGCTATAGCAGACAACTTGTGAGAGACAGAGAAGTGATCTAAATGAAGAAAGATGTGGCCATGCTGACTTTAAAATCCATTGCTCAAATCTTTATTGTCGTTTCCAGTGTGGGCTTACCAGACTTAGAGAGAGACAAGAAGACATTTGGGGATGTTATTAACATTTATTGAGACTGGAGACTTAATTATCTCTGGCAAACTACTAAAAGTTTGATTATGTAATTTTATTAATTACCTTAACAGTTTCATAGGATAGCTATGGTTTCAAATTAGATTGAAGGGCTTCAAAGCCTTTGCTTTTCCTCTGAGTGATCTGTGGTGTTAAATCTCTCAGCCTTGGCTCTCCCTGAGGAGTCTCCTCCTGTAATGACTGTAAATCAGTCGCAGGGCCCTGCCCCCAGCCTGTTTAGTCCAGAGGCACAGAGAGAGCTCTCAGGATGTACACATTTCTACGTGCATTTAAAGATGCATGAGTAATGATTCTAATTGTATACTCAAAAGTTGAGGCTGGAAGAATAATCAATAGCTAATCGGTTTCATTTATTTTTGTAGTGTGTGTCTCTGTGTGCACACATACATGTGTGTGTGTTTGTGAGCAGATGCATGTGCATGTGTGTGGAGACAACTTCAGGTGCTAGTCCACCTTTGCTTTTATTTTTCTTTTGCGACATGGTTTCTCACAGGCCTAGAACTGGTAAGGTAGGTGAGACAGGCTGTCCAGGGAGCCTGAGGCCTGATGAGGCTGTCTGACCTCCCGCCTCCGTGCTGGGAGCACAGGTGTGCACTATCAAGCCCACCGCCTTTTATTTTAGTTTGTACTTTCTGTACATGGACGTTTTGCCTGCATTTTTGTCGGTGCGCCGCATGCATGACTGGTGTCCACAGAGGCCAGATGAGGACATGGAGTTCCCTGAAATGGACGTTACAAATAGATGGTATGAGCTACCATGTGGGTGCTGAGACTCAAACTCTGGTCCCCTGGAAAAGCATCTAGCACTCTTAACCACTGAGACATCTCTCCAGTCGCCTTCTCCTTTAAAGGACATGGCTCCAGATACTGGCCTCATGCTTACAAGGCAAGCAATTTACTGACTGAACTATTTCTTCAGCCCCTAATTTCTATAGTCAAAGGTTAATTAGGCTACAAAGATGAACCATTACAGTGGAATGGAAGATCAGGGCTGGAAATGGATGGATAACAAAGGGATCAACTACGCAGATTCTAAAGAAGCGCTTCCCAAACCTGACCCTGTGGATGTTCTTGATGTAGGTGTGTCTTTCTATGCGCTACTTTCATTGGTTAATAAAGAAACTGCTTGCTTCCTCACTACATGTTCTGGTAATTTTGATTCAATACATGCTTTGAGTGAAGTTTGCATCTGTATTTCTAACCAGCTCTCAGAAGAGGCCTGGGATCCTGGTTTACAAGTCACATTTTGAATAACAAAGGCCTAGGGACACAGTGTTCAAATTGGGGGCTGGAAATACCCACTGATAACTAAGTGATGAGGCTTGGAACTTGAACACTGTTTTGTTTGTTTCAAGACAGGGTCTCACTACGGCTCCCTGGCTGTCCTGGAAACATTATGCAAACCAGGCTGACCTTGGACTCACAGAGATCTACCTGCCTCTTCCTCCTGAGTGCTGAGATTAAAGGTGTGTGCACCACACCTGGCTTTAATATTGCTATTAGGAGAGCTGAGTTTTTCAGGGCTAGATTGTCTTTGTAAGGACTTTGTAAGGACATATTGCTGGGGCTCTCAACGATGCCCTTTTCATCTTTGCATGGGTTTGGCATATTCTCGAAGATGTCAAAAACTGTTCTGTGGCATCTATGAAGTTCAGTGGTGTTTAACAGTCTCGATTTTAGAAAGCAATATTTGGTCAACTGAAGCTCATACTTCCCCCACCTCTCAACTCAGAATTGCTCTTGGCATGAAAAGGACAGAGAGCTCTTACAAGTTTGCACTGGTCTGGGGAAAGTTTCCTCTCTCCCTACCAGAATCACCATGCTGTTATCAAAATTAAAAACTCAGAATAATTTTGCTATGACCACTATTCCTATTGGAATGTGTTTCTCTGAAACAGAACAACTGACTTAGAAAGTGCTGCATAGTGTGAGTCTTGCACCTGGAGTTTTTATTGTAGAAATATTTGTGAAAATTTAATAACCGGATCAAAAGGCGCTGGGAAATTTCTAGAATGAAAGAGAAAATGGTGGGATAAAGAGGAGAGCAATATTCACTACTTCATGTAACTGTTTTAACCAAGCCCAAGCTGAACAGTGCTATAGAAGTAACTTTATCACTTGTACCTGTGGTTCTTAAAGAGATACTCACTGCTATGCTCCCGGTGGGGTGTGTCGCTGGCTGGTCTTTATAGGGCATCTTCCTCACTGCAAAGGACACCAGGGATGCAAGAGCATAGGGATCGTTCTTTCTCTGAAAGTAAAAGCGTTTATTTAAATGCATGTCCTTGAAAACTCTTAAAAATACTGCTACATAATCAGTTGTTTTCAGTATTTATATGTCCAATGCAATTTTCTTCTTCTTTTTTCTGTCCTTCTTTTATGTCATCCATCCATCCATCCATCCATCCATCCATACATACATACATACATCTCTCCATTCCAATAACCATCCAACTATGATGCATTTATCCATCCTTCCAAATGCGTCTGTAAATTTATCTTTCCTCTAAATATCCATCCTATCCATTCAAATATTCAAATATATGACTAACCTGTTTTTAATTATATATATTTAATAACTATTCTAAACATTTATTTTACATATATTTGTGTACATACACATATACACACAGATATACAAATATATGTGTGTATTTGATTTTCTTTTAAGATAGAATCTAACTGTGTTGCCTGTCTCTGCCTCCAGAGTGCTTGGGATTCAAGGCATGTGCCACCATGCCCAGCTAAGATATATTTTGTTAGTATAATATTTGTGCCTCAGTTTAAGAGGAACCCGGCCCTAAGGAAATTCGAGTTCTAAAAAGGAGTAAGTACAAGGATTTTCTAGAGTTACTGCTGGTGAAGGTCAAAGGGACCCACAGGGATTACAGGTGCTTGTTCCCCGAAAAGGAAAGTCCTGGTGACAGCTTGTAGAGAAATGTGACATGGAAAACCCCAAGCGGGGCTGCTCAACCTCGGTGCTACTGAGGCTGTGGTTGTGTCTGGAGTCACCCTGTGCACCTGAAGGTGTTTGCCACAGTCTCTGCCTTCTCCCTGTTAGGTATTCCAGTTGTGGGGATTGGGATGCTCCTGAGGGCTACGGAAACTCTGAAACTCAGAACCCCTGAGGTCAGGTGTTAAATCACAGCACAATAGATAAATAAACAGGGCATGGGGTGGGAGGGAGATACGTTGGGAAGGATTTTAGGCGGAGTTGGAGGGAGAAGTAGGGGGTCAATATGATCAAGATACATTATGTACATGTACAAAAATTTCAAAATAAGTAAAATATTAAAAATTAAATTATATCACTTAACTTATGTTTATAAAAATTTAACAGTTAAAACTCAATTCTGTTTAACTATATTTTAAATTACCAGTGCTACTAATATTACATGTGCCTACTTCATTCATAAAGGAAAACATCATACAGTGATGTGTGCTTTGGGCACCCATATTTTTGCTTCCTCACATCACCCAGGACGATCTGTGTGGAGAGGAACCACCCACAGTAAGCTGGTCCCACGCACATTATCATCAATCAAAAAAGTGCCCCACAGACTTAACTATAGGCAGTCTCATGGAGGCATTTTCTCAATTGAGAGTCCTTTTCCTAGATAATTCCAGCAGTTTTCAGGCTGACTAAAACCTAACCAGGACAACATCAATGAAGAAGCTTTCAGAGCTGGGGGTTGAGGTGCATGCCTGTGATCTCAGTCTGGACCATTTAAGAGTTTGAGGCTAGTCTACCAGCCAAGGCTGCAAGGACTTGTCTTAAAATAAAACAGTACAGAATTTGGAGAGGCATGTCAAAGGAATTCTAACTCCTATGGTAGACACTTGCCTAGCATGCTTAAAGACCTGGGTTTAATCCCCTGCACTGCAAAAACCCAACCAAATAAACAAAGCCAAAAAATCAAAACAAACCAAAAACAAAAAACAAAAAACAAAAAACCCCCAAAACCCCCAAATAGCAGTTTTCACTGATTATGTTGGTTCATACCTATAATTAAAGGAGGTGAGAGGATGAGGCAGGAGGATTGCTGTGATTAGAAGTCATCCTGGACTACATAGTAAATGTGGATTAAGAAAAGTCTCAAAAAACCCAAAATGTTTTCACTAATCTTCAAGTTCAATAAAAACTTGGTAGAAAATTAAATTACAGTACTAGAAGCCATATCTTCAGCGAACAAGTGTAGCAAGAGTTGCATCTCTGCATGGATTCTAGACAGAGAGCTTTTCTTTTACTGCTTGTAGATTTAGAAGCAGGAGCTTCTCAATGCATTAAAGATGTGGTTTGACAGTGTCTTCCAGACACAGTGGGACTGCTGTATATATGATTTCACAGAGGCCAGTGCACAAGACCAGCTCAGCCTCAGGTTCAAGTTAGACGGGACCCCAGCACTGAGGGGGGAAGTGGACACAGGGTCCAACATCAACTGAGAAGCAATCTGCTATTGACACCCGGCGGCAAATGGAAAATCAGTTTTCTCCAATGGAGTCTCACTGGGTAGATAGTCTACACCTCCTCCTTTTGCCCTTCCCACTCTTCACCACAGCTGGACCCCTCAGATTGTTCATTTATTTCCGATCGTTACTCTTGTCTCATTGGTCCACAAACCACTGGAATTGTCTGGGTCTTTGAGAACACCTGAGATCTATGTTAGAGGTTCTGAATCTGTCTTCAGTGAAACTGTATTTGAAATGTAGTATTGTATTATTCTATCATAGCGAATATATATTTTCTAAGTTTTATATTGTGGTTTATAATTTTCTGTTTTCCTATTTTATAGTCATGATCCACAGAGTGATATCTGGACCACATGGACAGTGGCGACTCTCCAAATTATATTGCCTCATAGTACCACGGCTGCCTTCATCTGACTGAGTCTGCTTTATGCTGTGTGCACAGTAACAATGCAGCTCGTGAACCTCCTAAAGATATTAGCCATTAACAAATATTCAGTAATGACATCACTGCTCTGTCTTCCCCAACTTGATGACACAAACTGGAAGGCCAACCCTACAGAAATTTAGTGAACCACAAACTAACCACTTCATGAAATGATGTACAAGTTATCTGATGGCCTTTGAGATCTTCAGATGACGAATTTGTTGGCCTCTCACAACGAAAGGGTGAGGTTTTCCAGTGATTGATTACACTGGGCACTGTTCTAGGTTTCCCAGCGATTAATTACACTAGCACTCTCCCTGCTGCTGTGATACAACACTGACTGAAAGTAACTTCTGGGAGGAAAGGGTTGAGTTGGCTTACACTTTTAGGGCACAGTCAATAACTGTGGACATTGTGAAGTCAGACCAGGAACTCAGACAGGAGGTGTAATTGTAGGACTGCAAATCCAACACACCCAAGTCAGAGGCAGCAGATCAGAGGTTCAAGGTTATTCTCTGCTATACAGGGAGTTTGAGATCTGCCTTACTACTGGAGGTACTGTCTCAAAAAAAAAAAACGACCCGAGGCAAATCTCTTCTGCACATGCTGCTGCACTACTGAGTGTCGGCTGAAAACCTTCACCTTACTCCAGACTTCTATTACTCCTTAGAAGGATACTGTTCCTCTGTCCACACCACATCATTTAAGCTGTTGTTAGCAGTTCACTGGTTGTCTCTAGCATGCAGTGTGTGCATGCGTGCATGCATGAGTTCATGTATGGTGTGTGTGTGTGTGTGTGTGTGTGTGTGTGTGTGTGTAAGACAAAGATCTACTTTGCTTGCTTTTTCTTAGGGTCTGTCTACTTTGTTTTTTGAGTCAGGGTCTTCTGGGACCTGGGACTCAGCAGTTAGGTTAGGATGGCTGACCAGTGTGCCTTAGAAATACACTTGAATCCGAGGACTGGGGTTATCTGAGCAAACCACCATGTCCTGTTTTTCACTTGGGTTTTGGGGGATGGAAATTAGGTCCTTGTACTGGTGTGTCAGGCACTGTACTGACTGAGTTGTGTTCCCAGTCAGTTGGTATATACTTTTTCACTATGGTTTCCTTATGGTACTAATCAAAGTTACAGGGTCGGCAAACTACAGGGAGAGGAGGCTTCTGGACTTGATAAATACCAATATCGAGAGCTTTCTCTCTCCTATCTTTGAACTGCTTAAACCATCTCAAGACTGATAATAATGGTGGTGAAGATGATGGTTTTATTTGAGAAAGGACTTTTATGTAGCTCAGGCTGGCCTTGAACTCACCCTCTTCCTGTCTCCATTGCCTGATGTTGGAATTGCAGATGTACACCTCCATGTTCAGCTCAATAATTATTTTTAAACCCACGCTAATTTTATCTTTAAATACTCACTAGCTGCCAGAATTCACGCTTCTGAGTTTTCTGAGCAACTATTGGTGAAACTCTTCAATAGCAAAGAAGGTTTTACTGTAAGCAACAACCAGGGAAGAAGGTGCCACTTGGTATTAAGCTAAGTAGAACCTTGTTCTGACCAGTTTGCAAGTCTACCACAGGAAGAGAAAAAAGCATGATACATTAAGTCCCACCTTTCAGTTAACTTTAAATACTGGGTAGGGGAAGCAAAAAGTAGCAGTGTATTGTGGATTATGTGATGAAACTACTTTTAAAAAATATGTAAACTTAAGTATATATATATACACACACACACGCACACACACACACACACACACACAAAGGCATATGCATATAGTTGAACATGTTTATATAAATGAGTAACTGTTACATGTATATCTCTAACTCCAACTCCATGTTTATGTGGGGGACAGGGATTTTTTAATACTGCATTCCTTCTTGGCATCAGGCTTCCAGGAGGGTAATATGTAGAAACTGTAGGGAATAAAGGCATTGTGGCTGCAGGTGTGGGTATATGTAGGGGTACACAGGCAGTGATTGTTATGGAATTTGGAGTGTTGATGTATGTTCTAGTCTGACTCCTCTGTTAACTACGTTTAAACAATTGCTCAGTCACTAGTGATGTCCTTCAGACACACTGGCTCTTTTTCCTTAAGATTAATTTTTAGTTTATGTATATGAATGTTTGCCCACACATACTCACACATGAATGCTCCCAAGCATGCATGCACACACGTATGCACAAATGCATGAATGGGCATGCCTGGTGCCTGCAGAGGCCAGGGGAGGTCACTGGATCCCCTGGACTGGAATTACAGACCATAGTGAGCCCTGGGGACTGAATCCAGATTCTCTGCAAGAGCAGCTAGTACTCCTAATCACTGAGCCATCTTTCCAGCTTCTATTGTGGTATTCTTAA